CTGGTGGCCTCTGGCATGGAGCTTCTGCACAGCCTTCTTCATGCTAAGCCAGTGGCTGCCATCCATAGGCACCACCAGTACCTTCCCACCTTCAACCCAGCGTCCAACACACAGGATGACCAACAGCCCCGTGAGCACTGGCAGGGGAGCCAGGAACCCTGCAGCCATGTCTGTAGAAGCCCAAAGCAGCCGGCTTTGCAGATCAGGCTATGCCTCCTACATTTATTTTCTTTGACTTTATCTTATCACTGAGCCACTTCGCAGGGCAGGTAACTGGCAGGCAGCATGCCCTCCTTGTGTTAATCATTACAGACTAGACCTGTCCCACTCTTCCACCACTGGCCCCACTCTTCTGCTTCCACGCAAGGAGAAATCAATCCCCCTTATCTAGGAAACATCTCACCTGCCTCTGTGCTCTCTCCAGGGAACATTCTAATTGACTCTGTTGCCCTCTACCCAATTCCCAAAACAGGGCTGTGGATGCCCAGTTCACTGGATCTCCTCCTAGTTCCTGGTTTATCCTGTGCCAAGAGCTGTGACTGAGCTCTGGGGAGACACCAATGCCCCAGTCTCAAGCTTAACCTCTCTGTGGGATGGAAACTTAGCTGCAAACTGTTGAAGTGCTTTCCTCTCATTTGTGTGGGAACATGGAACACACCCAGAAAAATATATAACATTGCTAAGGCAGCATTCTCTAAACAAGGAGGGGGACACTAGCTCTTAGGTTTTACTCCTTTTCTTTTTTTTTAATTAATTTATTTATTTATGATAGTCACAGAGAGAGAGAGAGGCAGAGACACACGCAGACGGAGAAGCAGGCTCCATGCACCGGGAGCCCGACGCGGGATTCGATCCCGGGTCTCCAGGATCGCGGCCTGGGCCAAAGGCAGGCGCTAAACCGCTGAGCCACCCAGGGATCCCCCGGTTTTACTCCTTTTCCACACCAGGACATCTCTTGCAATGGTCAGAAAAGTCTACTTGAAGCGCCTGTCAAATAAGGAAATACCTTGAAGGATCCTGCAGTGTACATGTGAACACACTGCAAGTGTTGTTGAGCATTCCAAACTTACTTCTCAGAATAAGATCGTTTGTTATCTAAAGCATAAATGGGCAAGATAACCCTTATGGATGACATGAGGGAACAGAGAGCACCCTCCCCCGGAGCCTGGTCACCTTGGAACAAGGGGAGCTGTCACAAAGCCTCCAATCAGGCTCTGACTCCACTGCTCTTCTCCTGTCTCCTGCTACCTTGTTTAGGGACTGGGGTCTTTCACTAATAACTTCCTGCCCTCCTTCCCATGAAAACCACCCATTTCATACAAGGCCTCAGAGCTCCCCTCTGCTTCCTAGATGGGATACTGCTCAGTTCATGAATCCTTAATAAGGCCAATTGATCTGCAAATATACAGGTTGGACTTTCGTTCTTTAACAACTCTAAGGTATCAATCTAGATAAAATAAAGAGACTAAACATGCTGGATGGGAAGATTTCACATTGTAATGCTCCTGTTTTGTCCCCAGTGAAGCAATAGATTCATTTCATAAGCATGAAACCCAACAAAATCTCACTGGGATTTTTAACATGACAAAACAACATTTTCAAAATCACCTAGAAGCCTTTGGGGCTTCTGGTAATACAGGAGTAGCTCCTCTCAGTCGCTGGTCCCTCAGATAATGATTATAAACTCTTGCAAAATGTTTTTCTAAATAATGCTGTCTGAAGGCCTTGGGCAGCAAACAAATGAGGGCAGAAATGGAAGGAGATAAAGGGGACAGGATGATGGCACAGGACCACAAGGGTAACCAGGAGGGAGAGTAGAGGTTCCTTACACTTCTTAGCAGCCACCTCTCCTACCTCTAGCCTCACCCACTGCACAGCTCCTCCCTATTAACAGGGAGATTGTCTTAATGCCATTGTACCCACGTGGCCAGGAAATGGCCAGCACCTCAGTCAATCCACTACTCATCATCGGGTTTCACCCCCTTCCAGAGCTTGGACCAAAGTTCAAGGGGCATTCTCCTTCTGTGGTCGCTATCATGGGGTCCAACCCATACCTTGTTGATCAGCCTCGAAGCCAGCAGACCAGTGGGCATCGCACATCCTTCTGCAACCTCAGCCCTCTTCCAACCTTGTGATTCAGGCTTTAGGCTCTAGTTGAATTTCAGTGGTCTGCTGACCTGCCCCCCAAGCAGCCGGCCCAGCAACAGACATCTATTTCCACTCTCTGCCACAGGCTGCCCTGAGCAGCCCTGCCAACACGCCCATCGAACCAGCCAGTGTTTTCATGTGTCCCCATACTCACATGGCAATCCATAAGCATCTGACATAGGTGCCCCTCATCCTATAAAAATGGCTAGTTCACCAATTGTTTCCTGGCTGTTCACCAATTGTTGGCTCACAAACTGGCCACTGGATATGGAGGCAAGGACACACTGAAATCAAGGCAGGCTGATATGGATGGGTGGTGGCAGGGCTAAGAAGCAAGGGATGTTCCTCACAAGGCTTGTCTGAATGGCCACAAGACCAGTAGATCTCTGCCCCTGCCTGCCAAATCTAGAAGTCTATATAGACACATTAATTGGGTTCACTTATGTATACCACCTGGATAGTATACTGTCCACAACACCTGGCTCTCTCAAGGCCACCTCCTTGGAAACCAGTCCAACTGAAAGAATGGTGGGCAGAACATTCATTCTAAAGACTCCTCCTTCCGAGGAGGAGTTGAGAAGCCTCCAAATGCCTGGAACCAGCCCCCTTGTAAACCTGCATCAACATTCTCCCAGTAACTCCCTCCAACACTCAATATCAACAGAAATAGTTTTTTTTTAAAATACACAAGGGATCAGAATAGATTACTATTGAAGGAGGTATAAGGACAGTCAACAAGCCTATGAAAATATACTCAACATCAATAGTCACTAAGGAAATGCAAATAAAAATAAGATATCACTTCCTGCCACCTAGGGTGGCTATAATAAAAAGGAGCTGAAAACAACTGTTAAACAAGACCTTTATAGAAATGCTCATAGCAGGAGGATAGACAATGGCAAAGAGTAGAAACCCATCAACTGGTAATAGAAATGTCTGTCCATCAGCAGGGGTGCCTGGCTCAATCTGTCAGAAGAACATGTGACTCTTAGCTCAGGGTCGTGAGTTTGAGCCCCACATCGAGTGCAGAGATTACTTCAATAAGACTTTAAAGAAAATGTCTGTCAACTGATAAATGGACAAACAGTGGTCCATCCACAGAAAGGAATATTATTTAGCCATAAAAGGCATGAAGTATCAGGGCACCTGCATGGCTCAGTCACTTAAGCATCTCACTCCATTTTGGCTCAGGTCCTGGTCTCAGGCCCCCAGGATCGAGCCTCGCTTCAGGCTCCATACTCAGTAAAGAATCTACTCAAGGACTCTACTCTCTCTCTCACTCTTTCCCTCTGTCCCTCGTTCCACAAATAAATAAATCTTTAAGAAATAAATTAAGTACCAACATGTGTTATTATACGGATGAAACTTGAAACATTAAGCTAAGTAAAGAAGCCACATACAAAAGGCCACATCCCCTATGATTTCATTTCTATCAATCCCCAGAATAGGCAAATCTATAGACAGAAAACAGATTCGTGGTTGCCAGGAGCTGGGGAGGGTAGAATCGGAGTGACTACTTAGAAAGGCACGTGCATAAACCACATCTTCTTTATCCATTCATCTTTTGATGGACACCGAGGCTCCTTCCACAGTTTGGCTATTGTGGACATGGCTGCTAGAAACATCGGGGTGCAGGTGCCCCGGCGTTTCATTGCATCTGAATCTTCGGGGTAAATCCCTAACAGTGGTTTATGTATACAATGGAATATTACTCAGCCATTAGAAACAACAAATACCCACCATTTGCTTCAACGTGGATGGAACTGGAGGGTATTATGCTGAGTGAAGTAAGTCAATCGGAGAAGGACAAACAGTGTATGTTCTCACTCATTTGGGGAATATGAATAATAGTGAAGGGGAATATAAGGGAAGGGAGAAGAAATGTGTGGGAGATATCAGAAAGGGACACAGAACATAAAGACTCCTAATTCTGGGAAACGAACTAGGGGTGGTGGAAGGGGAGGAGGGCGGGGGTGGGGGTGAATGGGTGACGGGCACGGAGGGGGACACTTGACGGGATGAGCACTGGGTGTTATTCTGTATGTTGGTAAATTGAACACCAATAAAAATTAATTTATAAAAATAAAAAAAAAAAGAAAGGCACGTGCATGTCCTTTTGGGGTGATAAGAATGTTCTGAAACTAGTTAATGGTGATGATGTACATCACATCACGGGTGTATCAATCACCACTGGAGAGCACACTTTAAAATGGTCAGTTTTACTTTATGTGTATTTTATCACAATAAAACAAAGGGAGCAGGCACTCTGAACAACAATCCAGCCATTCCTCAAAGGTTTATCACACAACCCAGCAATTCCGCTCCTCGGTACATATGCAAGAGACTGGAACATATGTACACATAAAACTTGCACAGGAATGTTCGCCAAGAAATAGAAAAAACACAAAAGTCCATCGACTGATGAGTAGGTACATGAAGTGTGATATATCCATAGAAGGAAATATTATTAAGCAATAAAAAACAATACTACAAACTGGATGAATCCTGAAAATATCATGCTATATTTAAAAAGCCTGTTAGGGCAGCCCGGGTGGCTCAGCGGTTTCACTGCCATCAGCCCAGGGCCTGATCCTGGAGTCCCGGGATCGAGTCCCACGTTGGGCTCCCTGCAGGGACTCTGCTACTCCCTCTGCCTGTATCTCTGCCTCTCTCTGTGTCTCTCATGTATAAATAAATTTTAAAAAAGAAAAAAGAAAGGAAAGTCTTGTTTGACCATGCTGGCACTTGTTGATCTCATCACAGACCTGCACTCCTGCCTCTCAATTCTCTTTGTGACCATTGCAAACCTTTACTACATGAGTGGAAGTACCTTAACATTTATTTCACAGAACTCACAGAAGAACAAGAGGTAGTAATCTCAGAAAGACTGGCAGATAAGTAAGCACCTGGAAGTAAGCTTTAAGAAAACATAAGTGTTCCACCCGTAACACTGATCCTACATAGGATGCAATACAGACCTGAGACAATGGCTTCCTGTTGGCACAGTTTATGCCTCCAATGAAGAACATGTTGGGCATGATTGGCCTCGGGTAGTCCAGAACAAAGTCCCCTCTGAACAGCCACACAGATCCAGAGCTGAGGATGTCCTCCAGGGATACCTCTCGCTGAAGAAGCTCAGAGGCAAGGCTTGCATAAGGAGTGAAAGAAAAGTGGCAAATGTACTTCAGGGCCAGGGGGTAGAGCATGTTCTTGACCCTTTGCAGGAAAGTCATGTGGTCTGAATTCCTTGTTAATAATCTGGGAATATATGAGGAAGGGTTTGGGCACTGTGTGCCCTCAGAATCTAAATCACATGGAATGTTCCGCAAAAAAAACACAGAGGGAAGGGACAGGTACCTAGCCAGTATTGCTCCACAGGGATAAACAGGATCAGTTAAAACCACATCAAAGGAACTGGCATTCAAGTGCCTGATCAGGTTCTTGTTATGCATCAGCGACTCACAAGATCTTTGAAAAATCCTAGCAGCAGCTTTCAAACATTCCATTGTTTTCAAAAATGTTTTTAGAAAAGGCATTCTTTCAAAAACCAGGTAACTCTGGCCCAACAGGAGGCGATCAAATTCTTCCTGGGTGTAAGGTGTGGCATACATTGTCAGGGTGAAAAAATCCTCTTCTTTGATATGCATATTCGACTCTGGGGAAACCACCACCATCTGGTGGCCTCTGGCATGGAGCTTCTGCACAGCCTTCTTCATGCTAAGCCAGTGGCTGCCATCCATAGGCACCACCAGTACCTTCCCACCTTCAACCCAGCGTCCAACACACAGGATGACCAACAGCCCCGTGAGCACTGGCAGGGGAGCCAGGAACCCTGCAGCCATGTCTGTAGAAGCCCAAAGCAGCCGGCTTTGCAGATCAGGCTATGCCTCCTACATTTATTTTCTTTGACTTTATCTTATCACTGAGCCACTTCGCAGGGCAGGTAACTGGCAGGCAGCATGCCCTCCTTGTGTTAATCATTACAGACTAGACCTGTCCCACTCTTCCACCACTGGCCCCACTCTTCTGCTTCCACGCAAGGAGAAATCAATCCCCCTTATCTAGGAAACATCTCACCTGCCTCTGTGCTCTCTCCAGGGAACATTCTAATTGACTCTGTTGCCCTCTACCCAATTCCCAAAACAGGGCTGTGGATGCCCAGTTCACTGGATCTCCTCCTAGTTCCTGGTTTATCTTGTGCCAAGAGCTGTGACTGAGCTCTGGGGATACACCAATGCCCCAGTCTCAAGCATAACCTCTCTGTGGGATGGAAACTTGGCTACAAACTGTTGAGGCACTTTCCTCTCATTTGTGGGGGAACATGGAACACACCCAGAAAAATATATAACACTGCTAAGGCAGCTTTCTCTAAACAGGGAGGGAGACACTAGCTCTTAGGTTTTGCTCCTATTCCACACCAGGACATCTCTTGCAATGGTCAGGGAAGAATCTACTTGAAGCGCCTGTCAAATAAGGAAATACCTTGAAGGATCCTGCAGTGTACATGTGAACACACTGCAAGTGTTGTTGAGCATTCCAAACTTACTTCTCAGAATAAGATCGTTTGTTATCTAAAGCATAAATGGGCAAGATAACCCTTATGGATGACATGAGGGAACAGAGAGCACCCTCCCCCAGAGCCTGGTCACCTTGGAACAAGGGGAGCTGTCACAAAGCCTCCAATCAGGCTCTGACTCCACTCCTCTACTCCTGTCTCCTGCTACCTTGTTTAGGGACTGGGGTCTTTCACTAATAACTTCCTGCCCTCCTTCCCATGAAAACCACCCATTTCATACAAGGCCTCAGAGCTCCCCTCTGCTTCCTAGATGGGATGCTGCTCAGTTCATGAATCCTTAATAAGGCCAATTGATCTGCAAATTTACAGGTTGGACTTCCGTTCTTTAACAACTCTAACATATCAATCTAGATAAAATAAATAAAGAGACTACAACATGCTGGATGGGAAGATTTCACATTGTAATACTCCTGATTTTGTCCCCAGTGAAGCAATAGATTCATTTCATAAGCATGAAACCCAACAAAATCTCACTGGGATTTTTAACATGACAAAACAACATTTTCAAAATCACCTAGAAGCCTTTGGGGCTTCTGGTAATACAGGAATAGCTCCTCTCAGTCGCTGGTCCCTCAGATAATGATTATAAACTCTTGCAAAATGTTTTTCTAAATAATGCTGTCTGAAGGCCTTGGGCAGCAAACAAATGAGGGCAGAAATGGAAGGAGACAAACAAAACAGTATGATGGGACAGGACCTCAAGGGTAACCAGGAGGGAGAGTAGAGGTTCCTTACACTTCTTAGCAGCCACCTCTCCTACCTCTAGCCTCACCCACTACTCAGCTCCTCCCCATTAACAGGGAGATTGTCTTAATGCCATTGTACCCACGTGGCCAGGAAATGGCCAGCACCTCAGTCAATCCACTACTCATCTTCGGGTTTCACCCCCTTCCAGAACTTGGACCAAAGTTCAAGGGGCATTCTCCTTCTGTGGTCGCTATCATGGGGTCCAACCCATACCTTGTTGATCAGCCTCGAAGCCAGCAGACCAGTGGGCATCGCACATCCTTCTGCAACCTCAGCCCTCTTCCAACCTTGTGATTCAGGCTTTAGGCTCTAGTTGAATTTCAGTGGTCTGCTGACCTGCCCCCCAAGCAGCCGGCCCAGCAACAGACATCTATTTCCACTCTCTGCCACAGGCTGCCCTGAGCAGCCCTGCCAACACGCCCATCGAACCAGCCAGTGTTTTCATGTGTCCCCATACTCACATGGCAATCCATAAGCATCTGACATAGGTGCCCCTCATCCTATAAAAATGGCTAGTTCACCAATTGTTTCCTGGCTGTTCACCAATTGTTGGCTCACAAACTGGCCACTGGATATGGAGGCAAGGACACACTGAAATCAAGGCAGGCTGATATGGATGGGTGGTGGCAGGGCTAAGAAGCAAGGGATGTTCCTCACAAGGCTTGTCTGAATGGCCACAAGACCAGTAGATCTCTGCCCCTGCCTGCCAAATCTAGAAGTCTATATAGACGCATTAATTGGGTTCACTTATGTATACCACCTGGATAGTATACTGTCCACAACACCTGGCTCTCTCAAGGCCACCTCCTTGGAAACCAGTCCAACTGAAAGAATGGTGGGCAGAACATTCATTCTAAAGACTCCTCCTTCCGAGGAGGAGTTGAGAAGCCTCCAAATGCCTGGAACCAGCCCCCTTGTAAACCTGCATCAACATTCTCCCAGTAACTCCCTCCAACACTCAACATCAACAGAAATAGTTTTTTTTAAAATACACAAGGGATCAGAATAGATTACTATTGAAGGAGGTATAAGGACAGTCAACAAGCCTATGAAAATATACTCAACATCAATAGTCACTAAGGAAATGCAAATAAAAATAAGATATCACTTCCTGCCACCTAGGGTGGCTATAATAAAAAGGAGCTGAAAACAACTGTTAAACAAGACCTTTATAGAAATGCTCATAGCAGGAGGATAGACAATGGCAAAGAGTAGAAACCCATCAACTGGTAATAGAAATGTCTGTCCATCAGCAGGGGTGCCTGGCTCAATCTGTCAGAAGAACATGTGACTCTTAGCTCAGGGTCGTGAGTTTGAGCCCCACATCGAGTGCAGAGATTACTTCAATAAGACTTTAAAGAAAATGTCTGTCAACTGATAAATGGACAGTGGTCCATCCATAAAACACAACATGTGTTATTATACGGATGAACCTTGAAACATTAAGCTAAGTAAAGAAGCCACATACAAAAGGCCACATCCCCTATGATTTCATTTCTATCAATCCCCAGAATAGGCAAATCTATAGACAGAAAACAGATTCGTGGTTGCCAGGAGCTGGGGAGGGTAGAATCAGAGTGACTACTTAGAAAGGCATGTGCATGTCCTTTTGGGGTGATAAGAATGTTCTGAAACTAGTTAATGGTGATGATGTACATCACATCACGGGTGTATCAATCACCACTGGAGAGCACACTTTAAAATGGTCAGTTTTACTTTATGTGTATTTTATCACAATAAAACAAAGGGAGCAGACACTCTGAACAACAATCCAGCCATTCCTCAAAGGTTTATCACACAACCCAGCAATTCCGCTCCTCGGTACATATGCAAGAGACTGGAACATATGTACACATAAAACTTGCACAGGAATGTTCACAGCAGCGGTATTCACAGTGGCCAAGAAATAGAAAAAACACAAAAGTCCATCGACTGATGAGTAGGTACATGAAGTGTGGTATATCCATAGAAGGAAATATTATTAAGCAATAAAAAACAATTCTACAAACTGGATGAATCCTGAAAATATCATGCTATATTTAAAAAGCCTGTTAGGGCAGCCCAGGTTGCTCAGCGGTTTCACTGCCATCAGCCCAGAGCCTGATCCTGGAGTCCCGGGATCGAGTCCCACGTTGGGCTCCCTGCAGGGACCCTGCTACTCCCTCTGCCTGTATCTCTGCCTCTCTCTGTGTCTCTCATGAATAAATAAATTTAAAAAAAGAAAAACAGAAAGGAAAGTCTTGTTTGACCATGCTGGCACTTGTTGATCTCATCACAGACCTGCACTCCTGCCTCTCAATTCTCTTTGTGACCATTGCAAACCTTTACTACATGAGTGGAAGTACCTTAACATTTATTTCACAGAACTCACAGAAGAACAAGAGGTAGTAATCTCAGAAAGACTGGCAGATAAGTAAGCACCTGGAAGTAAGCTTTAAGAAAACATAAGTGTTCCACCTGTAACACTGATCCTACATAGGATGCAATACAGACCTGAGACAATGGCTTCCTGTTGGCACAGTTTATGCCTCCAATGAAGAACATGTTGGGCATGATTGGCCTGGGATACTCTAGAACAAAGTCCCCTCTGAACAGCCACACAGATCCAGAGCTGAGGATGTCCTCCAGGGATACCTCTCGCTGAAGAAGCTCAGAGGCAAGGCTTGCATAAGGAGTGAAAGAAAAGTGGCAAATGTACTTCAGGGCCAGGGGGTAGAGCATGTTCTTGACCCTTTGCAGGAACGTCATGTGGTCTGAATTCCTTGTTAATAATCTGGGAATATATGAGGAAGGGTTTGGGCACTGTGTGCCCTCAGAATCTAAATCACATGGAATGTTCCGCAAAAAAAACACAGAGGGAAGGGACAGGTACCTAGCCAGTATTGCCCCACAGGGATGAACAGGATCAGTTAAAACCACATCAAAGGAACTGGCATTCAGGTGCCTGATCAGGTTCTTGTTATGGAAAAGGCCCTCACAAGACCTTTGAAAAAATGAAGAAACAGTTTTCAAGCGTTCCATAGTTTTCAACAATCTTTTTAGAAATGGCATTCTTTCAAAAACCTGGTACCTCTCACCCAGTAGGAGGCGATCAAATTCTTCCTGGGTGTAAGGTATGGCATGGGTTGTCAGGGTGAAAAAATCCTCTTCTTTGATATGCATATTCAACTCTGGGGAAACCACCACCATCTGGTGGCCTCTGGCATGGAGCTTCTGCACAGCCTTCTTCATGCTAAGCCAGTGGCTGCCATCCATAGGCACCACCAGTACCTTCCCACCTTCAACCCAGCGTCCAACACACAGGATGACCAACAGCCCCGTGAGCACTGGCAGGGGAGCCAGGAACCCTGCAGCCATGTCTGTAGAAGCCCAAAGCAGCCGGCTTTGCAGATCAGGCTATGCCTCCTACATTTATTTTCTTTGACTTTATCTTATCACTGAGCCACTTCGCAGGGCAGGTAACTGGCAGGCAGCATGCCCTCCTTGTGTTAATCATTACAGACTAGACCTGTCCCACTCTTCCACCACTGGCCCCACTCTTCTGCTTCCACGCAAGGAGAAATCAATCCCCCTTATCTAG